TGTATATATTGTCTAGGAAGGCCTGGGCCACTGTTGATGCAGTGTAGGGGTGAACCAGACTGATAAAATGAGCATATTTACTGAGCCTATCAACAACCACCAATACTACTGACTTGTTGTGAGATTTAGGTAATCCTTCAACAAAGTCTAAGCTGATATCTTGCCATACCTTTTCAGGAATGGGTAGGGGTTGCAATAGGCCTGGGGATTTCACATTCTCACCCTTACATCTTTGGCAAGTGTCACAGCTCCTGATGTGTTCATAGACTCCTGTTTTCATCTTCTTCCAGTAATATACTTGACTCACTCTATGCAAAGTGGCAGCCATTCCTGAATGACCTCCAACAGCACTATCATGAAAGAAGTGCAAAATGTCATCTCTGAGAAGCTTGTCAGGTCCAACCACTATTTTGCCTTTCCTGTAAATGATGCCATCCTTTAGCCAATAAATAGGATTGGCTAAAGCATTCTGACTAAGCTGAGATGCTAACTGCTGTAGGTTTTGATCTCATGAGTAAGATGATATCACTCTTGCAAGGAAGTTTGAGGACACAGTGGAGATAGTCAAGAGTTGAATGTTGTCCATAGGAAACCTTGATAAAGCATCTGCTGCTACATTCTCCTTCCCCTTCTTGTACATGATGCTGTAGTCATACCCCATGAGTTTAGCAACCCATTTCTGTTGGCTAGGAGTGGAAACCCTCTGCTCCAGAAGATACTTGAGGCTCTGGTGGTCTGTTTTAATAAGGAAATGCCTGCCAATGAGATATGGTCTCCATTTATCAACTGCAGTCACAATGGCCATCATCTCCTTTTCATATACTGATAGGTGTTGGTGTTTAGCATGCAAAGCTTTGCTCAAATAGGCCAGAGGATGAGCCCCCTGCATCAGTACAGCCCATATTCCATGCCCACATGCATCGGTTTCAATAATGAACTCCTGGGAAAAATCTGGGAGTGCTAGCACAGGTGTTGTACTCATAGCCAACTTGAGAGTTTCAAATGCCCGAGTTGCTGTCTCAGACCACTCAAACTTATCTTTCTTCAAGAGGTCAGTCAGAGGCCTAGCTATTATTCCATACCCCTTTACAAATCTCCTATAATACCCTGTTAAATCCAAGAATCCCCTGAGTTCCTTTACATTTTTTGGTACAGGCCACTCCACCATCACCTTCACCTTCCCTGGGTCAGCTGCTACCCCTTGTTGAGTGATAATGTGGCCCAAATACTCTACCTCTGTCTGACCAAATGTACATTTGCTAAGCTTGACAAACAATTTATTATCCTCCAAGATTTTGAAAGCTTGTTCTAAATGTACTAAATGTGAAGACCAAGAAGGGCTGTATATTAGTATGTCATCAAAGAATACTAGTATGAATTTTCTGAGGAAGGGTTGGAATATATGGTTCATCAAACTCTGAAAAGTGGAGGGTGCATTGGTTAACCCAAAGGGCTTTACCACAAACTCATAGTGTCCATTATGGGATCTAAAAGCTGTCTTTTCAATATCTTGGTCAGCCATCCTAATCTGGTGATAACCAGATCTTAGATCTAGTTTTGAAAAAAACTTTGCCCCTCCCAATTCATCTAATAGTTCCTCTATCACAGCGATTGGAAATTTGTCTTTAACAGTGCAACTATTTAATTGTCTATAGTCTATACAAAGTCTCCAAGTACCATATTTCTTTTTGACCATGACAATAGGCGAGGAATAGGGACTTACACTAGGCCTGATGACGCCAGAATCCAACATCTCTTTGATCATTTTTTCTATCTCATCTTTCTGGTTAGCAGCATACCTGTAGGGTCTGACATTGATAGGGGAAGTTCCTTCCTTCAGTATAATTTTGTGATCATGACTTCTATGAGGAGGTAAAGCTCTAGGTGCTTCAAAGAGACCAGTATGTTTGGCTATTAACCTCTGTAAATCATCAGAGTCCTGCCTTGGTTGGAAGTTCAAAGTGGCAAGTTCCCCTCTGATTGGTTGAACATAAGCTGTGATCATCATGCTCAATTCTCCAGATTTGTGCAGTAGTCTTTGCATTTTGTGGTTGTCTAACAGCTTAGGATCACCTGGTTGGCTACCCCTAAGTGACACCTTTTTTTCCCCAATTTGGAACTCCATCTTCAACTGCCTAAAGTTCCATCTAATGTCTCCTAAAGTGACTAGCCATTGTATTCCCAAGACAAGATCTGCTCCCCCTAGAGGCATGACTAACATGTCAGCTCTAAATTCCACTCCTTGCATCTTCCATGTAATTCCCTTACTCATGTACCTGCTGTGAATTTTGCTACCATTAGCAACTGCTACAGAGAATGGAGAAATAGTTTCCAGCTTGCACCCCAATCTCTTAGCTACATCCAAGTCCATGAAATTATGAGTAGACCCTGTATCTATCAAAATATGTACCATCTTACCTTTTACACCCCCTTTTACCCTCATTGTTCTGTAGTCTACCGTTCCATCTAGTGCATGAACATACATCTGAGGACTTAAAGCTGATTCCTCTCTATTTTCCTCCTCACTGAAATTTTCAGTAACCTTCCAGTCTTCCTCGTCCTCTCTTATTTCTAGCAGATACATTTGCTTTCTTCCCCTGCAGTTATGACCAGGGACAAACTTCTCATCACACCAAAAACACAATCCTTGGGCTCTTCTTTCATCCATCTCAGCAGTGGATAACCTCCTAGATCCCTTCACTACAGATTTCCCATTGGAACTCAAAACCTGTTCCCTTCTACATTTCTGCTACTCCCAACCCCCTGAATTTGTGGGTGTCCCCTGAAGTTTGAATTCCCAGAAGGAGCTGGGGTAGGTAACAAGGGTCTGGAACTCTTCTGATTCCTTTGCAAGTTCAGGGAATGTTCAGCTAATTTGGCTAGGCTGTAGGCTTTTGTTAGAGTACGTGGAGATAACATCCTAACTTGTACCTCAATTTCTGGCTTTAACCCCTTTAAAAAATAGCTGATAGAGTATTCCTCAGATAATTCCACTTGGTTTAACAACCCATCAAAAGAATCCAAGAATTCCTGCACACTCCCCATCTGTTTCAAGCTAATCAGCTCTGCCATCGGATCTTCATGTAAAGTATGGCCAAATCTATGGTATAACCCCCTAAGGTAGCCATTCCAATTGGGTAATCCCCTACCCACTCTGCCCTTCATCATTGCTCGATGCCATTGTAATGCCCTACCCTCTAGGTTAATGGCTGCTATTCTAACCTTCTTCTCCTCATCTGTTCCCTCGTATTCAAAGAATTGCTCACATCGATAAATCCACCGTTCTAAATCATTCCCGTTGAACTTAGGAAATTCGACTCGAGAATATTTGTAATTAGGGTTACCTCTATCAGGATAGTTGCCTCTGTCAAGAAAATCTTCATCGTTCTCATGAATCGCAGCTGGAGGAACCGCTACTGGTGGCGCCGGTGCTTGCTGACTGGCCGCCATTGCTGCTATTAGTTGCCTAATTTCCCCAATCACCTCATCGTGTTTTTCTCCCATCGCCTTAACTTGTTCTCTAATTTCTTCAATTTCTCGACGCATCTCGCCATTTCTCGTCGCCTCCGGCATGTTTTCCGGCCAAGGATGCTGAGGCTCTAATACCAAATGGAATGTGCTAAAAGAATGAATTGTAATTCTGTAAATCTAAGGAACTAGGGCACAAGAATAGCTCCTGAACAATTTACAAGGATTGAAACTTGGACTGAAAAAGAAAGAGAGAGACGTATTATTCTTCTTAGCTGCTTATACAATACGAGTATCCACTTAAGTAGTGCTAATTCCTTTTCTAACATAACTGCTCCTAACAGACTTTTAACAGGCTTTTAACAACCTTTAACTACCCCTACTAACAATTGCTAAAATACCCCTCAACTTTTACTAATTTCCTTTTCTGCATTTTACAATATTGTCACATAACATATTGTTAGGTGAATCCATAATAATCTTTAATTCTCTATCAAGTCTGATATGATAACTTGAAAGTAATTTGTTATAGCTAGTTAAATTACGCTAATAGTGTATATAATTCAACTATTCTATCATTTTCTTAAAATTTCTGGTGAAAGAAGTGAAAAAATAACATTCTTTCTATTTTATGTAACTGTTTTTCCCGATGTTAATTATATTAGCACGACAAATCAGTTTGAATATCGCTATTTGAACCCATTAAACTGAACTAAATCATCAAATAAGGGAAGGTGGACAATAATAGTGAGAATAAAGCAGAATCAGTAATCCAAGCTTTTGTTTAGCAAAAGCAAATAAGTAGGAGTAGGTGTAGAAAACGAAAGATGTAAAAAGCCATTTTATGTTAGGACAGCAAAATAAATATAAAATGCCCCCACGCAGGATCGAACTACGGACCTTCAGTTTACAAGACTGACGCTCTACCACTGAGCTATAGGGGCTTTGTATCCTAGCTTGCAAATTTATATAATAATTAGAATCAAAGCCTCTTTTTTATTTTTATTTTTTATTAAGGGATACATGCAAACTGCAAAGATTGACAAACTTATTAGTCGCGTCTAATTGAACCCTTCTTCCTGAAAAGTGAAAACCATGTTCTAAAACTACTTTTTTTTTTTATATCAATTGTGAATACTAAAATTATGAGTTACTTAAATTAGTGGATAAAATTCGACTTATTCGTAATCATAATATATACTAAGAAAACTCGGAGGAGCAGCTACTTCAAATTAGTGGTCCCACTTAATTGAACGAATGGTGGTCTACCAAATTCCTTCCTTGGCAACAACCACCATAAACTACAATGAATATATTTAGAAAATTCTTTGTTGATGCCACAAAAGTAGAATTGAAAGAGAAACAAAGGGGTCAAAGTGTTAATAAGTAAATTTGTATTTTTTTGTCCATAGAGATAGAAGATAGTGATAGAGAGTATCCAAACTCACCCATATCTAGCCAATCTCATTCAAGCACTATATTTCCTTTGATGACTTCTTTCTTTCACTCTCACTCATTTCTTATCTCATCCCCCCTCTCTTTCGCCCCCCCTCTTCATGTTCTTATATCTTAACGAAAATGTACTTCAAGAATTCACTTCTTCCTTGAAAGTTGAAACTATCTCAAGAAAATGGCAACTAATTCATTCAAGTCTATTCATCACCACCATACAATAAGGAGAAGGCATTCTATTGATTGCCCTTTTTCTTCCTCTTCCTTTTTTCTCAAACCAATTATCAAACACCCCTCTTCAACTTCATATTCCAATCACAATCTCATCACTTTTTCACTTTCCTCCACCACCCCTGCCACCACCCCTGCCACCACCCCCACCACCCCATTTGACATTCTTGAACAACACTTATCAGCTCAAGATTTCAGACAAGCTGATGAGGAAACTCGGCGTCTACTCATAGTTTTAGCAGGAGAAGCAGCAGTTAAACGAGGCTATGTTTTCTTCTCTGAAGTTCAGTTCATTCAAGAATCTGACCTCAAAGAAATTGATTCCCTTTGGAAAAAATACAGCGACAACAAATTTGGGTACAGTGTTCAAAAGAAAATATGGAACAAAGTGAACAGAGATTTTACTAGTTTTTTTATTAAAGTTGGGTGGATGAAGAAACTAGAAAGCAGTGAAGTAGAGCAGTATAATTACAGGGCATTTCCAAATGAATTTATTTGGGAATTAAATGAAGAAACCCCAGAAGGACATTTGCCATTAACAAATGCACTAAGAGGAACTCAACTTTTGAGTAGCATTTTTACTCATCCTGCATTTGTTGAACAAGGAGAAGAAGAGAAAGATGAGGAAAAACAAGCAAGTATTTCTGGGGAAGATAAAGCAAGTCTAAACAAAGGAGGATTGTTGGGTGGTTTGAGGAGTAAATTATTTGGTAAACCTGATTACAGCTTTTGAACTTTGAAATGTCATTTCACTCTATTTGTATAAGTGATTATTAATCACTACACAAAAAAAGTAGTAGCATTGTGTGATAAAAAATGAATGAACTAGAGCCCTTTTTTTTTAACGTGTTCTTATGAAAAATACATCAGTTGGAGGTTCTTCTTCTAGTTTTTTATTTTATTTTTGGGGTTTAATGTGTTTGTATCACATGGTTCATTGACAGTGCAATACTCTTCATTGCCTTCTCATCTAATTTTGGCATTGTTATTGTGTGGGTCAAAATCTAACCGTAGTGGTCGCCCCCAATAGAAATGATAAGGGGTTATCAAGTTGGGATCCCGCCCAGGTGGCGAAATAGCAAAGAACACCTCGGCCATCCTCGGGGTCAAGTCATCGAAAGCCCGTTGGTCAGAGACCATTGAATAGAAGCCCTAGGAACTATATATATATAGTATATGGCAGGCAAGCTAAGAAGAGAAGGGGGGGGGGGGGGCTTTTTCTCTCTCTCGAGAGAGAAGGACAATTAAACAAGGGAGGAAAAGAGAAGAAGAAGAGGGAGAGAAAAGAAGAATCTCTCTCGGATGAACAACGGTCTCACTTTTTCCTCTTTACCCCTTCATTTACTTTCTGTCTCGCTTCATATGTAAGCTCGTCTCTCGTGTTTGATGCAAAATTATCACATCAATAAATCTAATGTGTTCCTATCTTTCATTATTCCTTGTTATATGAGTTTAAATCTGAAGTTAATTATGCTTGGCTAAGATTTACCTTCTTTATTATTGATAATTGGAGTTGACAAAATAGTCGTAGACATTTTCTTCAAAGAATTTGGCGCCGTCTGTGGGGATTTCTTAGCCAAATTTCCTAGTTTCCTTCAGATCCAAAACCGGTGAAATGTAACCACCCACCCGAGAGAGTGGTAAGTAAACCTCACATGCTAATCCAGATATATCAGGCTGCTATATAAAAGCAGGAGTTACAACCGATATCCACAAAAAGCCCACACACGAGAAGACAACACCTGCCGCGCAATCCGGTAAGAGAATCGGCACATCCTGCCCTACTCTCACATCCCCCCCCCCCCACATCGGATGATCCATGAAAAAAGTAAGACATGTCTCCCTTGTTTGTGGGTGTGAAATAGACGAGATCGAATCGGGACTCGATTTCAACACCACAGCAGTTAAGGCGAACTCAACACACGCGGAGTTAGGGCAACTCTAAAACTGTGGAGGAGCTGAATACGGCCACCGAATCTAAAAACCACCATTCTACCCCCGTGCATCGACTCATTGGATCAAGGTAAGGAGAGCCTCATTTTGGTTTCCCCTTTGTTGTCTGTCTAAATAGGAACACAAGCATCGCACGGGCAAGCGACTAAAGACCCGAAATAAGGAAAGCTGGGATCCAATTGGGACGGGCCGTACAAAATCACAGCGGCAGCAAGCAAAGGGGAATTCCAGCTAGAAACAATGGAAGGAAAACTATTACAAAATAACTGGAAAGTCGCTCATCTCAAACACTTCAACTTTTGAAAGTTGACGCCCCTCAAGTCGTACTCTTTTTCCCTCGCCTGGGTTGTATTGGGTTTTCCCGTGGAGGCTTTTAACGAGGCGATGAAGGGGACGCCTCGAAGTTTAAGGTATAGTTCATCGCCCCGCCTGCCGATTGTCTCTCCAGGACAAACGATGAAGGGACTAGATACAAGGAAACTTATCCAATATATGTATGAAATGGACATGTATAGTACTCTCCAATGAATGAAACAAAGCAACATTTTACACTCCCCATCAAGGTAGTCTACAAAGAAAGCAAAATTAAGCAAACTGGAACTCACCTAGGAAACACTGAAATTAAGCAAAACTGGGACTCCCCCAGGGGACACCCAAAATTCTCCAAAAAAAATGGTTGTATCGAGTACGCCAAGATCCGCTCCGACGTCTACACAGAGTATGGTAGCCGATGATTCGCCAAAATCTGACAATGAAATAACCAAAGAGAAGAGTTCGACCTCGTTCAAACCATAACGGGTTAATATTTCGACAATAGCTCGAAATAACACCCCTACGGCCAAGGGCTATCGCCAAAGAGAAGAGTTCGACCTCGTTCAAACCATTACGGGTTAATATTTCGACAATAGCTCGAAATAACACCCCTACGGCCAAGGGCCATTGCCAAAGAGAAGAGTTCGACCTCGTTCGAACCATAACGGGTTAATATTTCGACAATAGCTCGAAATAACACCCCTACGGCCAAGGGCCATCGCCAAAGAGAAGAGTTCGGCCTCGTTCGAACCATAACAGGTTAATATTTCGACAATAGCTCGAAATAATACCCCTACAGCCAAGGGCCATCGCCAAAAAGAAGAGTTCAACCTCGTCTGAACCATAATGGATTAATATTTCGACAATAACTCGAAATAACACCCCTACGGCCAAGGGCCATCGCCAAAGAGAAGAGTTCGACCTCGTTCGAACTATAACGGGTTAATATTTCGACAATAGCTTGAAATAATACCCCTACGCCCAAGGGCAATCGCCAAAGAGAAGAGTTCGACCTCGTTCGAACCATAACGGGTTAATATTTCGACAATAGCTCGAAATAACACCCCTACGGCCAAGGGCCATCGCCAAAGAGAAGAGTTCAACCTCGTTCGAACCATAACGGGTTAATATTTCGACAATAGCTCAAAATAACACCCCTACGGCCAAGGGCCATCGCGAAAAAGAAGAGTTCGACCTCGTTCGAACCATAATGGATTAATATTTCGACAATAACTCGAAATAACACCCCTACGGCCAAGGGCCACGCCAAAGAGAAGAGTTCGACCTCGTTTGAACCACAACAGATTAATATTTCGACATTAGCTCGAAATAACACCCTTACGGCCAAGGGCCATCCCCATTAAAAAATAATTCAACCTTGCTCGAATCGTACGGGCTGACATCCCGGCCTTACTCTCAATAACGCCTTTGCAGCTACCGGTCGTCGTCAGATATTTTTCTTTTTACTAAGAAATTGATTTCGTTACAAACCCCAAGTTCGACCTCGCTAGAATACATATAAAAAGAGTGACTTCGCCTAAATCAACAACAGTTCAACCCTCGCCGAATGACTTAAGTCGAGACCGACTCCGTCCAAAACAACGAAGCCGAATACAACCTCGTTTGAGTCAAAGACGAATCTGCTTAAAGCGACAAGTCAAAAGCGAAATCCTATCCAAATATGCGAATCTACAGAGACTCCATTTGGACTCGTGCGATGAAATCCTACTTGATCCGGCTAAAATTGGCTTCCCTAAAAAATCAGGAATTCACCATACAAAATCTGAAAGTCTATGCCAAAGCAAAGAAAAAAATGTGTAAAGCAAAGGGAAGGGAGAAAAATACAAAGGACGTACAACGACAAAATTCCCTTTTATTTAGATAGTTGCGCAAATGGTCGCAGATTATACACGACCAAAACCGGCCCAGTACAAGAAACAGAAAAAGAAAAGATAAAAAAATAGCCTAAGGTTACAACTTTTCACTCGGCGTCATCACCGTCGTCCTCCCCATTACCATCTCCAGGAAACTCCTCCTCAGCTGTCACGACCCAAACCCCGCACTGGTCATGATGGCGCCTCTCGTGAGGACGAGGCCAGCCAACTAACCCAACTCGTCTTTTCAAAAATAGTTAAACATAAATAAACAGCTTAAATATGACTTAATAATATTAATCAGCGGAAATACAACCCAACACAGCCCTAATCGGGGTGTCACAAGTCACGAGCATCTGTCAGAATGTAAATCCACTACAAGGCCTAAAATATACAAAACCGGAATAATGAACAAAAGAGAGAAACATGGTGCTGCGAACGCTGGCAGTCACCTCCTTAACTCATGTAACTCTGCCTCTGATCGGCCTAAACCCTCTACCGGGTGAATAAAAACCTGCATCTGCACACGAGGTGCAGGGAGTAAAGTGAGTACTCCAACTCAGTGAGTAATAAAGGTAAATAACAACTGAGCAGTAAGAAATGACGTAAAGCAAACCATCATGTTGTATAGAAGCAGGGTACAATCCTTTGAGAAAACAGTGAAACTGTGAAATCTTTGGAAAATATCTTTGCTCCGTTTGAATCTCTTTGAAAATGAACTTTTCAACAGTTACGAAATGATTTCAAAACAGTTTGTGCCGATCAGCACAGAAAATCCGCCCCTCGGGCACAAATACCACAATATAACAGGTAAAAAGGCAAGTAAATATGCAAGATGAGCACATAAAAGTTCGCCCCTCGGGCAATATCTCAAAACAATACCAGCCCCTCGGGCTCAATATCAATCGCTCAGAACAGTATCAGCCCCTCGGGCTCAGTATCAGTCACTCAGCATAGCATCAGCCCCTCGGGCTCACTCTTAGATCATATGGGTACCCGCGCTCACTGTGGGTGTGCAGACTCCGGAGGGGCCCCTTACGGCCCAAACGCTATATCAACATAAGGCCTGAAAGCCTTCTCACATCACACATAAGGCCTGAAAGCCTCCTCACATCACACTCGAGGCCTGAAAGCCTCCTCACATCACACTCGAGGCCTGAAAGCCTCCTCACATATGGCCCTCGGCCTCACTCAGTCCAGAAAACATCATAAGCCCCTCAGGCATCAATAAAATAGTAGTGCTCAGCCGAAACAACAGTGGAAATATCATTTAAGTCTCAAAGTTCAGTTAAAGCAGCTGAGTTTGTAAAACAGTATAATCAACAGGACTGAGTTCAAGTAGTATATCAAAATAGTGAGGAAACAGTGATAAAAATCCATGAAGGATTCAAGCAGTCGGCATGAAGCCCAAAATATGGCAATAGACCCAAATCATGTTGATAACAAATACATTTCAGTCAAATACGCGGTAAAAATATTAATCGGGACGGACCAAGTCACAATCCCGAGTAGTAAACAACCCCGCGCTCGCTAGTAAGCGCGTGTTTCACCTCAATACAGCACTACGTTGTGCAAATCCGGGGTTTCAAACCCTCAGGATATCATTTACAATCATTACTCACCTCGAACCGGTGAAATCCCTAGCTCGCGACGCCCTTGCCCCGCAAATCGGCCTCCACGCGCGTCGAATCTATCCAAAACCAGAACGATTACGTCACAATATGCCAATGGAACAATACCCAATTGAAAACAATCGAAAAATATTAAAAATCTCGAAATTAGCAAAACCCGAGCCTCGGGCCCACTTCTCAAATCTCAGAAATTTTCACATTAAT